AACAAAAATTCTCTTAAAGGTACAATTAAAATTTTTAAAAACATGTAACAATAATACAACCAAATAAAGAATAGTAGAATAATATTTTCAATTGTTTTAGATTTGTGACGCCCTTCCTCAGGCTCACATTAAGAAGTGATGCTCCAGGAAGGCTGTGGCTTTGTTCATGCTGGAAGACTGAGGTGGCAGACTGTGCCCAGAACAATGCTGGGGTATAGAGGAGTACCTTTAATAAGAATAAGGCACTCACAGGAACCACCAGTCCTCAACAACTCAGGTCAAAGCTGGCTCTTGGTTGCAGGAGCCAAAAGTACTACCAGCCTCACAGCAGGACTCCACCCACTCAGCTGTCCAACTGCCTGCAGTATCTTGGATTCAAACATCCAGCCCCTTTCTACAATGGAGTCTTCTTTAGCTTCTGATCTGTATAACCGTGTTCCCAGTGCTGTCCTGGAGTTATTCTTTTACTGTTGACTGCAGTGTGGAGACTCTGCTGTGCCCAGGTTCCTTGGAACATTCTGTGTAAATTCTGGTTGCCTGAGCATTGCTGTTGGCTGTCAGTCAGAGACTCAACCAGGTTCAGGACTAGAGCAGGGCAGTGAAAGCTCATTTCAAATTCAAGGAAGCCCAGCACACTGAAAAGGATCTCATACCAGACCAATGTTAGGTGAAGATTCCTACATTTTGTTAAGAGAAAAAGTGAAAAGAAAGTGTTAACAATTATAAACTTATACATACCAAATAACTGAACAATTGACTTCATAAACAAACACAAGTGGACATGAAAAACCAGTAAGTACCAATGCAAGAGTAATGAGGGAATTCAATACCCAATGGTCACAAATGGATCAACTAGACAAAAATCAACAAGGAAATTCCAGGGCTGAAACAAACCTTCAAACAAATGGACATAATAGATAGACATCCTTCACAGAGTGATCCACACAACATAAGAATACATATTCTTCTCAGAAGTATGTGTGACTTTCTCCAAAATAACAACCTACTAGGCAATAAAATGGGCATTAAGCAAGTGGAAAATAATTAACATTATCCCACGCACATTTTTAGAACATAGTGAAATGAAACTAGAAATCAATGGCAATGTGCATAGAGTAATGAAACTAGAAACCATGGAAACTACACAAACACATGTAAATTAAACAATATCTTCATGAATAATCAGTGGGTGAGTCACAGGTGAATTTTAAGAAGAAATTACATAGTTTCTAACATTAAACCATGAAGTCAATGTGACATGCCAGAACTTGTGGTATGCAATGAAAAGAGTCCTAACAGGGAAGTATATTGCATTGAATTCCCATATCGATAAAGCAGAAGAACCTGAAACAAATAACCTACTGATAAAGATCAAAGTCCTCAAAAAAGAAAAACAATGCAAATCCAGTGCTAACAGACAAAAACAATGCAAATCCATGCAGATATGAGGAACAAGATTATAAAGACAGAATGAATAAAACAGTTGGTTCTTTCAAAAATTCAACAAAAGAGACACAAATCCTTAGGTAATCTTAACAAAATAAGGAAAGAAAAGACATACACTCTTGCAGTTGTAAATACAAAATATAAATGATAAGGATTCTTCTAAAATCCAGATTATTGGAAATGATGTTAAGAATTTGCACTCTAAAAGTAATAAGAACTAAAGAAGTAATAAAACCCAAAATGTGTAAATTTTGTTGTAAAAAAGAAAGGGAAAAAAGTGCTCTAAAGGATACAACTGCAAGTGTGTTTAGGTGTATTAAGATAGATGACCATATTACTGAGTTGTTGTTGGATCGTTGAACACAACTGTTTGCAGTCTCACTGTTTGAATGTCCACTTTGTATGCTTTAATACTGTAACTTGAACAACTATTTCTAAGATGACAATATGTAATCTATTAACTAGTGATTTCTCACCGGTTTTTTTTGTTTGTTTGTTTGTTTTTGGTTTTTGGTTTTTGGTTTTTTTGTTTTGTTTTGGTTTGGTTTTTTTTTTTTTTTTTTTTTTGTAATTCTGTATTACTTTTACCCTTATACTGTTTTGGGTTTTTTTCCCTTTAAATTAAAAAAAAAAGAACTTGCACTCTAAAACGTAGAAAATTTTAAAAAACTAAATTCCTAGTTACATATGATCTACCAAGGCTGAGACAAGAAGATATAAAAATCTTTATAAGCCATTCTCAATCAGTGAAATTTAAGAAATATTAAAACAACTATCAGCTAAGGAAAATTTAAGTCCCAAAGGATTCACTGCTGAATTCTACATGAAACTTAGAGAAGACCTAACCCCAGTACTCCTCAAACTTTTTGATGAAATTGAAATGGAAACAGTACTCCCCATGTCATTTGTAGAAGCAAACGTTACCTTGATTCCAAAACCAGGAAAAGATTTAGCCAAAAGAATAGAAATACAGGCCAACCTCTTTAATGAACACAGATGGAAAAAATCCTCAATAAGATACCAGCAAACAAAATGAAGCAAATTATCAAAAAGATCATACATCATGAGAAAGTAGGATTCACTCCTGGAATGCAGATATGATTTCACATGTTAAAATAAATAAATGTAACATACTTCATAAACAAAACCAAGGACAAAGTAATGTGACCATCACAATAGATGCAAAAGAGAATTTGAAAAAACCCAACATGCATTCATGATTCAGAAAAAAACTGAAGAAAACAGGAATAGAACGTCTTTATCCCATCCTAATAAAAGCCAATTATAATCAACCTCATACTAAATAGAAAGAAGCTGAAAGATCCTCCTCTAAACTCAGGAACAAGACAAGGATGTCCATGATCACTACTTCAGTTTAATATAGATCTCAAAACATTAGCTAGAGATAAGACAGGAGAAAGAAATAAAGGGATATGGTCAGGAAAGAAAGAAGCTAAATTATCATTATTTAATGATGGCATTTTCCTGTACATGGAAGACCCAAAAAAGTGCACCAAAAGATTCCTACAACTAACATCCAAATTTGACAGTGTAGCAGGATAGAAAGTCGATACTGAAAAATCAATAGTGTTCTTCTACATCAATAACAAACACTGAGAGGAAAATCAGGCAAAAAATATCCTTCAGAACAGCATCAAGAAAACTGAAATACACAAGGATTAACCTAACCAAGAAAGTAAAAGACATATTTATAGTAGCCTCTAAAAAGAAATTTAAAAGGCCATCAGAAAATATAAAAGGCATATCCTTTTCCTGGATAAGCAGAACCAATATAGTCAAATGACCATACACCCAAAACTGTTTTATGGATTTATTGCAATCCAAATCAAAATACCAATAACATTTCTTATGGCAATGCAGAAAACAATACTAAGATTCATATGGAATAAAACAACAAACATAATTCTAGACAACAAGGGTAAAACAAGGAAATATCACAATCCTGGACTTGAGGTTACACTCGATGCAGTAATAAAATAAAAATCATGCTGTTGGCAAAAAATGGACTCCTGTATCAATGGAACAGAGTATTAGACAAAGAAACAAATTCATGCACACACATCTATGTTATTTTTTATAAAAAGGCTAAGTCTCTTTCCTGGAGAAGACATAGGCTGTTTAGCAAATAGTGCAAGGAAAACTAGCTATCTGAATGCTGAAATCTGAACCTAGACCCATATCTCACACCACACAATAAACAAAAATCAAAATGGATCAAAGTTATAAACATTAGAACAAAATCACTTAATCTGATGGAAAATAAGACAATAAAACTCTTAAAGACACAGTGCAGACAAAGTTAATCTGAACAAAACCCAAATTGAACAAGAACAAATACCAAGAATCATCAAACAGGACCAGATCAAATTAAAAAGCTTATGCACAGCAAAGGATACCTCTAACAAAGTAAAGACACAGCTTACAAAAATGGGATAAATTTGCCAATTATTCCTCAAAGTACTAATCTAGAATATACAAAGAACTCAAAAGCTTAGACCCCTAAATTTACAGATTTACTCCAAAAATGAATATCTGAAATGAGCAGACACTTCTCAGATAAAGAAATACAAATGGCCAATAAGCACATGAAAAAAAAAATGTTCAATATCACTAGCCATTCAAGAAAAGCAAACTAAAACAAGGCTCGTATTCTATCTCACTCCAAAAAGAATGGTTATCATTATGAAAACAACCAATAGCAAATGCTTTTGAGGCTGTGGGGAGAAAGTAACCATTCTCCATTGTTGGTGGAAATGTAAACTGATGCAAACACTATAGAAATCAGTATGGAGTTACTTCAAAAGACAAAAAATCTAAAATTCAATTTGACCCAGTTATTCATCATACCACAGTCATGTATGCACAAACTTATTTATAGCAGCACAATTCATAATAGCTAAATTTTGGAAATAGCTTACAGGTCGATCAGATGATGAATGAATAAAATGTGCCATTAGAAGGACAAATTTATAAAACAATAACACTAAGCTTAGAAATCTGGATTCTACTGTGTTGAGATTCAGTAACCCTAAGTAGAACTCCCACCTTTACACTTGACTCTGACTGATCATGTGCTAACCAAAGAGTTTATACCTTTATATTTATGTTAAAAGGACAACTGTGATGCCCAACCACCATTACACACTCTTTACATTTACTTTTGCAATAGTGGCCTTTAGAAGCATCAATACATTCATCTCAGTAGCACATCTGACAATGTGTAAGGAGTACCTACTGACAGAAAATCACCTGCCTTGATATACGTTCTACCCACTTATCCATCAGTAGAAGAATCAAATGTCCTCTCTTCCAACCATAACTAAGGAGTCTAAAAAATTTGCATAATTTATTTTTATGAAATATCATGGAAAATGCAAGCTTGTAAAGAAAGTTTGTCCTGGACCTCAGCAGAAACAGTCCAGAAAAATAAGGGAAAAATGATCCCGGAATATCATATTGTTCTCCTTCCTATTAGAAAAAACTCTGAAATTTTCAGCACGTCCTGCTCTGATTAACTTTTTTGTGTTTCTTAGGAGAAGTGAAAAATCCTGGTCAGACACTTCCAAGAGCTTTGATTTCTGCTTTGTCCATCGTGACTGTGATATACTTATTGACTAATATATCCTTCCTGACAGTGTTGACACCAAAGGAAATCATCTTTTCAGGTATGATTGTATGTGGACAGGGGGAAAATAGGCACATTACCTACTTAAAATAAATGAATATAGCTCTATTTATTTGATATACCCATGGCCATATAAATATAATGTGATCATGTTTGGGACATTACAAAGAATCCAAGGAAAAATAATTATCTCAATAATGTACAAAAGATAAGCACTTGATGAATTCTAAGTTCTTAGAGTAGAATAATGTGAAATAATAAGACCTAAACAGAGAAGAAAATTAGAGGAAAGAAGGGAAAAAAAGAAGTGCAAAAGAAAAAAATGGGAGAAAACATGAACAAGAATAGCACCAAAAAAAGAAATACACATTTTCCTTAGGTATTCCATAATTTAGGGTACACCCAAATACCTATCCTCATTGTAACTGTTTCAAATAGTCAATACTATCTTCTTTTCTTAAATGAATAATCTGTAATTCAGGGTACTTAGTTATGTAGCCACTGTCATCCATCTACAGTTAAGCAGATTAATATTCAAAACCAAATATGAATTGACCTCTCAAAATTACAAAAATGCTTTCTCTTCCTCCTTTTCCTTCTCCTCTTTCTTTTTTTACTCCTCTTCCTCCTTCGGCTTATTACGAATAACAGTTTGTAAATTTCAGCAGCAATATATAAATCCTAATATTAATAAAATTCCAATAAGAATGACATTTAATGTGGCATGATAATTGAAAAATAGGATTAAAAACAATTTCTAATTTCCTATTCTCAATCACTGTGTTAAAATATCCCTTGCAAAGAAACCAGGTCAAAGCTTTATTAAGATGGCTTCTCAGCAATTCAATAATAATATAAAGCCTTATAACAAAATATTTGACACATAATAAGTCTTATTTTTATAGAATATTACAAAACACATGAACATAGATATGAATAAATGCAGATTCAGGTGTTCAGTTTACTTTCAGTTTACAAGAAAGCAGTATTTCAAATGTGTTAGAAAAACTATACTAAACTTTAATTTTTAAAAAGAGTTACTGCTGAAGGAAAAGAAAGTTATATGGAAAGTCTATTCATTAAAAACAATTGACTTTTTAAGTATTCTGAATAAATTTCAATTACTATAGCAAAAATACAAACTAAAAAGTAGCAGACACAGATAGACACAATGGAATATGATCATATACAAACACAGAGAGATGATTGAAGACATCAAAAGGGAGCTTTACACATCTTCCTAGAGACTAGCATAGAAAAGGACAATTACAAGTTTAAAAAGGGAAACAGAAGTGAGTTATGATTACATATTCACAATTTAGGTCTCACAGAAATACTGTAATCTTCTAAGTGAGATATTTTTCATTATTAAAAATTGGGGCAAAATTATAATTTGCCATGTATTCCACCTGAAAACCAGTCTGCAAGTTCTCTAAAGATCTGCCTCACTAACATTCTTCGAGTATTTTCACCTCTTCATTCCCACTCTTACTGCCTTGGTCCAGCACCTTCTTGTTCTTTCCTGGCTTATTGCAACAATCACTTTCTTAATTTATACTCTCCAACTCATGTAATATCCTTTCAGTTTCTACAGACAAAGTAGATATGATACACAAACTTACTCATATAATACACAAACTTAAGTCACTTTCTTGTTTAAACACTGTCTTTTTTGCTTGCCAGTCTTCCTAATCTGACTCTCACAGAACTGCAACCACCACATCATCACTTCAACACTTCCCTCCTGATCAGATGGTCACCTCTTAGCTGACCAGAGCTAGTTCTGAACCAAGGCCTACCTTTCCATCTTCCTTCACTGCATGCTCCTGCCTTGCACTCTACTTACTGCTTCTCCAGAATAACCCTGGGTACCTGCAATGAGATGTAATGGGCTACCTCACATTGACAGTGAGATTGACCTCAACTGCATATCTATAGAGTCCAAGTGCCTCATCCTAATTAAACAGTAGTCTAAGAAATGCATCTTAAGATCATGAAATGATTCAATAAACTTAGAATACAATAACAATGTTCTCTCAACAAGTGTTGACACTTAATAATTCTTTGAATTTTAGGGCACAGATTGCTCCTAGAAGAAAGGATAGCATTTAATTTTGCAAATGCAGACTTAAAACTAAGCAGCTGCTATTAGAAAATAGAAATAAATAATTGAAATATTAATTTATCCAGGGATCATTGGAAAATAGTATACATTTATAAATAATAAAACAACATTATATCACACAGTTTTTGTCTCCACTTTAACTGTAATTAATGCCCAATAATTTGGGAGCCATTTGCACATTTAGAACATAATATGCTATTATGTTATTGCTAATACATATGACAATACTTCATTTCTGCTACATCTATACCTTTTGTAATGTAATTTGGCTTCGGTGTACAAGAAGATCTATTTAATTAGAGAACAATATCCACCCAGTTTGAAAGACTGATTTTCCATTTTTTATACCAGTACAGGTGATCATATCAATTATCCATTGTTGTCTAGCAAAATTCTAGAAATGTACTGAATTAAAACAAACATTTTTGAATCAGAATTCTACTCATTGGCAATTTATGATAGGATCAGTTGAGCACACTGGAGCCATGCCTGTGTCTGCATGCCTGTGTGTGCATGCCTGCGTCTGCACACTTCTGTTCTATAAGATTTTATTCTCAGTCTTGGCATGCTCTTTGGATTCCCACACGGACAGCATTTCAAGCCTCTAAAACGTAAATTCCACAGCAAGGTCACATGTGAAAGAAGATTTTTGTGACAAAGTCTTGTGTTTAATCAACTAGGGAAGAAATTAAGAAAGGCTGTGATTATGTTGGGACCATGTAAGAAGGAATGGGTGAGTAGAAAGCATCTTATGCCACTACCCAATATAAGGAAAGTTTAGCAAGTCTAAAAGATCCATTAATCAATGTTGGCCATCAGAGAAATGAGTTTTCATGGATCTCTACCACACAAAATCATTGGTTGAGAGAACACTGTGAGGAGTTTGGTTTTAAGACATGTCAGAAGAGATTTCACAATGCAGTATGTATGATTCTAAGTGAGATCGTTTTGCATTTTGTTATCTCCAGAGATAACATCTTGGCTCTATCCTCTTATAATCTAGACTGAACTCATTAGTATGGTAGCTAGGCAAGGTTTCAATCAAGACATCAGGCAGAAGTCTCCAATACACCTCAACAACTAGGAAAAAAAAACTCACAAATAACTGTTTCCACTTCACTGATTGAAAAAGATTCAGAGTAAAGGAGACATCCTCTTTTGTAAGGAGCATCCAACTTACATTACAAAAGATATAAATGTAGGAAAAACAAATAATTTTTGCATGTATTTGTGAGAAATCCAAAGTGACTATGATATTTCAAATTTTGTTTAATTTTTGTAGATTCTATTGCTGTCACATGGATGGACAGAGTATTCCCTTCCATGCAATGGGTCATTTCACTGGGGATTTCAACTGCAATAATTGACAACATTTCTTGTGGAATACTTAAAGGATCAAGGATGCTCTACGCTGCTAGCCAAGAAGGACAATTGCCTCTGATCCACTCTATGCTTAATGAGCGCCTGTCTCCAGCTGTAGCTGTGATCCAGTTAATCATTTTGTCTTCTATTGCTGTTATACCATCAAATTTAACGAATTTAATAAAATATCTGGGATTAATATGTTGGGTTTTAAGTGGGCTAAATATGATTGGCTTACTTAAAATGAGGTACAAGGATCCAGACCTAAGGAGACCTTATAAGGTAACTCAAAATTGAAAAGTTAATATTAATTTCCAGTTTCCATCTATGAATAAAATTTGTTGAAGCTGTTATGGATGTTCCTAACAAATTGCCAGCCCAATTTGTGAAACATCTGATCTATGTTTGCATTTGCCTGTTTTCTGATATGGACCACTTTTGAACTGATTTTTTTTTTGGCATGTGTTTAAAAGTTGAAATTTGATATTTTTACAAGGAAGATAGATGTTTTCATAGATTTTGCAAATTACATAGCAATATTTTTCTGAGAAAATATTTAGTTTGTATATGAAATCAATAGTTTATAAAAATTGAGGACTATCTTTTAACAAAATTGAACCATTGTTCTGTACTATTTGGTTGACAAAACTACTATAACTTCTTTGAGTACATTGTATGATTTCTGATGAATATAGAACTGAGTTTTGACCTCAGGGCCTTTTTGAGTTAAGCAACACTGTTTAACAGAACAATACTGAAGGCCCTTAAAAATGGCTACTTAAAAGCACTGCTTTACTAGAGACAAATAGCCCTGTGCCCAGGCACAGAGCACAAGGAGCAGAGAACATGCCAAATGAGCAGTTCCCAACTTTTTTGGCACCACAAACCAGTACAGTGAAAGATAAGTTTATTACAGATTATAAGAAGCAGGTAGGTTGTTTCTGAGTTATTTGAGCATATTACATTTATTGTGTGTTTCATTTCTATTCGTATTGCATTGTAATGTATAATGAAATAATGATAGAACTCACCATTATACAAAATCAGTGGAAACCCTAATGTAACCAGCTGGTAACATCAATTATTTTGTTACTATAAAGCCTGCCACCAGATGCAACTCAGTTGTTATTTGCAACTCACAAGTAAGATTTTGATAAGAGTCTGCAAGTAATTGATTACTATCTCTGTACACTCAAACTTCTCTGCTAACATTAACTTATATTTTTTGCTGCTCCCTGAACTAGAATTAGCACCTCAACTCTATTTCATATCTTCAAACATTAGGTTTTCATAAGAAGCACACAGCCTAGATCCTCACAGGTACAGTTCACAGTACAATTCATGTTCCTATAAGAATCTAATGGCACTGCTGACCTGACAGGAGATGGAGCTAAGGTGGTAATGTAATCAATGGGGAAAGGCAGTAAATACAGATGAAGCTTTGTTCTTTGACCTGTTTATTGGCTCCTTCTGTGATGCCCAGTTTCTACCATTCAGTGACCAGAGTTATGGGGACTCCTACCTAAATGATGGCCCCTGTTTATACTCTCTAGTGTGTGTTATAAAATAAGCAAGCCATCATCAGAAGAAATAATTCCAGACTCTTCTTTGAAAAGCCCATCTGAAAACAGCATAGAAAGTGAGTGAAAAAGATTGTGTGTAAAAGCAATCCAAACCAGTGGCCTGTATTCTTTTAATAACCATTCTTTACTAAAGAGAATTCAAAAGCTCATATTGGCTATGCTAGATAAAGGAAGCTGATCTGGAATTGAACACTGGAGTTCTGATACCAGAATCCCATATTTGGGTGACCTGCTTCCAGAATTTTTATAAAGCTTCCTGGCATACAATTTTGTGAAATAAATTTATTACTTGTTAATGTGTCTTTATCTGCCACATATCTGTCTTATTTTCATTTACTTCATCTTTGTATGATGCAAGCCATGCTGTGCTACAATGCAAACTTTAGCAAGTTCCATAATACGTTTCCTATAGTAACTGGGTTATAAATATAGTCAAAGTTACCCATTTAAGATATTTCTTGTATATGGACATTGTATGAATGTAAATGAGAAACTCATAGTTACCTACATAAGAGCCCAAAAACTCAATGAAAACTCCTGGAATTTGAAAATTGTACTGTAGGGGCAGAGGATTTAGCTCAGTGATGCAATGCCTTCCTGGAAAATTTTTATATATTACTTGGCAGAAGTATAATAAACAAATAGTAGCTTGGTTGCCTAAATATAGAAACTAATAATGTTTACATGGCTAACATTAGAATGGTATCATTTCTCATTTATGATACAATATGAAATAATGTATATTTTCATTGCTTAAAGTGCAACTTTTCACTGATTTTAATGGATGGATTTAATCGAATGACAAGAGAAGTAATTTATCAAAAATAACGATGTATGATGAGATACAATGAAAGCAATCCTACAAGGGGAATTTATAGTGGATGTTTCTCATATTAAACAAGCAGAGCAAGCCCAAATGAGCAACCTAATGTTGAACCTCAGTCTTCTAGGGAAAAAAAACCAGCAACTTAAACCCAAAGTGTATACCAGAGAGAAAATTATACTGATTAGGGCAGAAATTAACATAATTAAAATTGAGGAAACAATGGAAAGAATCAATAAATCAAATATATTTCTTTGAATGAGTGAATGAAATAGACACATTCTTGGCCAGCCATATCCAAAAAAGAAAAGAAAATACTCAAATATATTCAATTTGGAATGAAAAGGGTAAGATCATAACAGAGCCTTTAGAAGTCTAAAAGATGATCAATATCTATGATAAGAACCTATACTCTGATAAAATGACATCATAGAAGAAATGGACAGATTCCTAGATTGTATGCTTTATCCATGCTAAGTCAAGAAGATACAAAAGTTCTAAATAAATCAATATCAGCCAATGAAATTAAAGAAGTATTTTAAAGCTACTAACAAAGTAAACCCCAAGACCAGATGGATTCACTGCTGAATTCTATAAGAATTTTAGAGAAGATCTAATACCACTACCCCTTAAACTCAAATAAAACGACATGGGCAACACTCCCAACTCATTCTTGGAAGCAAGCACTAACCTGATGCCAAAACCACAGAAGGACTGGAACACAAAAGAGAACTGCAGACCAATCTCTCTAATGAATATAGATACAAAACTCTCCAGTAAGAGACTGGCCAACAGAATGCAGAAAATCATCAAAAAGATTATGTATCATGACCAAATAGGAATTATCCAAAGGATACAGGGAAGGTCCAACATATGCAAACCAGTAAATATAATATATCACTTTAACAGACCGAAGGAAAAAGCCTTATGATCATCTCAATAGATGCAGAAGAAGCATTGGACACAGTATAGCACCCATTCATGATTTTTTAAAAACCTACAGAAAACTAGAATAGATAGCAGTTATCTCAACCTGATACAAGGAATCTATGAAACACCAGCAGCCAACATCATATTAAATGGTGAAAAACTGAAAGCTTTCACGCTTTAAAGAACAAAACAGATGCTATTACCACTACTGTTTAATATAGTTCTGGAAATATTATCCAGGGCAATTAGAGGAAAGAGAGAACTAAAAAGAATATTTATAGGATATAAAGAAGTTAAATTATCAACATTTGCTGATGACATGATACTCTAGACAAAAGACCCCAAATACTCCTAGAATTTAAAAATTGTAGTTTAGGAGCAGAGGATTTAGCCCAGTGGTGCAGGGCCTTCCTTGCAAGCATGAGGCCCTGAGTTGGATTCCTGGTAACCCCCAAAATTTGTAGTTTTAATGTGCATTAATCTCATTTTTCTGTAACATAAAACTGTTCATCAAATTTGTGACTGTTCATCAAAATGCATTTGAAAATTTATATGCAATTATCTCCTCTTTGTTAGCTATCACTTGCGTGTACTTTGTCTATAAAAATTTGTGAGAAAAAAGTCATCATTAATCATAGTTTTCTTCTTTCTTTTCAGGTGTGGCTTCCATTGATATTCGCATCTTTAGCTTCATCTCTATTTCTAATTTTTATGCCAATCATTCAATCACCTAAAATGGAGCATGTTTATCAAGTTATCTTTGTTTTATGTGGACTTTTGTATTACTGGTTTCATGTTCATCTTAATCAACATTCTGTAGGTTCTGAAACAATCACTTGTTATTTACAATTATTATTTAATGTTTCACCATCAGGTGATCATGAAACTTGTATTTCTACAAACAAAAACTGACTATAAACATGTTTGTGAAAATAAAAGGCATTAAATTGTGAAATTTAAGTGAACAAATAGACTCCTGCAAACCTCCAAATGTTATAGACAAAATTAAAACACTGAAGTACTTATATTCATTAATAAGTAAGGGGATAAGACCTCAAATTTACAAACACTAATCAATAATAAGCATATGTGCTATAATTTGTATCTGAAATGTCCCAAACAGACTCAGTTGTTGAAGAGTCACCCCCTATAGGTGATGTGAAGGGGATGAAGGACACTAGGAGATGAGTTTTGGTGGACAATGTAGTTCAGATACAACATTTATTTGAAGAATATTTTTGTCCTGGCCATTTTGTCATTCTCTCTCTGCATGCTCTCTGCCATGACAAGAGATGCTTCCATCCACCATCGATATTCTGTCTCACCACAGGCCCAGGATCAGCATGCCACAAAACTCAGTATTGAAATCTCTGAAATTGTGAGCTAAAATAATTCTTTCTACCTTTCTGGAAATTTTCTTTGCAACAGAAAACTAACACAAAACGTTCATACACAGGACAAGGATCATTCAAGCAACTAGATCAGACAATGTGATTTACAATGTTCTGTAATTGGTGCATGGGAGAAATTGACATTGGGAGATGAAAGCTAGAAAAGAATTAATACAAACAAAGCATATTAGTCATTCTGTCATCACAGGAACAAAATACCCAACACTGACAACTAAAAAGAAAAACAGGTTTCTTCCAGCACTTGTTTAAGTGGGTTCAGTCTACAGTTCATGGGCTCCAAAGCACAAATAACATGGTAGAAGTATGTTCCAGAGGAAAGTTCATCAATTCATGGCACCTGGGAAGCAAAGAGAGGAAAGGGACGATGTGACGAAAAGAATACACTCTGCTAGGGCATGATCTCAGAATCCCACTGCCTTACAAAAAGGGCCCAGTACCTCATCCGAACATTCAGCTCTGATCCAATCAATGGACAAATGCTCTGAAGAGAATAGCACCTTTGTAATACATTCACCTTCCAAAAGCTCCACTTCTGAACATATGATACAGATGGTGGATATTTTTCATCTAAACAACTACATTCTCCCCTGACATTGAAAAGTCTTACACACATCTCATTATGCAAAATGTCTTTAGTTTATCTTGATGAGTTGTCAGAATTTCAACAATACCAGCACAGCTCAAAACTCAAAGTCCGAAGTCTCCTCCAAGCCCCAAGGAAAACTCATGACTAGGACCCCCCCTCAAAAAAAAACTCAAAATAAAGTGAAATATCTCCAATACCCATGGTGCAAGTTAAATAGTCATTCCAAATGGGAAGAAAACTGGAATAACAAGAAGCTGTACCAAAGCAAGACCAACCCCCAGGAAGCTACATGGTAAATGTGATAGTTCTATTTTTCACCATCCAGAACACGTAGTGATGAGATATGATCCCCAAAAAACTATTAAAGTCACACATCTGGAAGTGTTTCATGTTGCCCTCTTTGCAGGCTCTGCTCATTGTCTGTGATTTTCCTCCTTACACATTACTACCATCTCCATGTTCCCACAGCCTACACTACAATTTGGGTTTCATTCTCACAGCCTTATGCATTACCTTCTTCAGGAATCATTGTCTCTCCTTCAAGGCTTTCCTCTGAAATCTCCACAAATCTTCCTTTATACATGATTACAAAATCTGCGGCATGAATTATTTTAAGGTCTGCCATCAACTCAAGTGGTAGCCAGCCCAACTGGGCCTAGCTGTACTGGCTGCTGAGTGCCTGGATGGCTCAACTTGGCATACACTTCCCTAGCTGGCCTTAAGTTTCAAGATAAGGAAAAGCCTTTGAAAACCATTTGTCCTTTTATACACACTTAATCTGTGCCAGGGCAGATCAGTTTCTGAGATGCTATCAAGGCATCTTTCTTTTTTACTTCTTGGTGGAGGATGTCCCAGTGCAAAGTACTATACTTCATATTAGTGGCCCTAATTTTTTGGATACACACTCTTTTTTTCCCTCAATTCATATGCATTTCATTTTCTGCTCAAGCAACACAATCTTCATGTATTTTGGCTCTGCATTTTAATCTGATTTTCACCTTAATTGTGTCTAAAAGCAACTGGGACTACCATTACCACAGCCTGAATGTGGGGCTGCCTTGAAATTTCCTATGCCAGATTAGTTAGTTTGGCACCTTTCAATTCATCCTCATATACACTCATGGTACATGTACAGAGTATAGACAAATTCTTTGTCAAATGGCTTCTTGTCCAGCTATCAACAGAGTCCTCTTTCTCAATTTAAATTCCATTACCTTGCTTTTTATGTCCACATTCTAATGAACATTCAGCAATTCAGGAGTATCGGTATCAACCATAAAGTTCTGCTTGTAACAAGTCTAAGGCTTCTCTGGCTCACTTTTCCAAATTTTCCAAACTCATTCCATAAAATAGCTCCAACAAATTCTGAATCCCATAGATAGATATAGTCATAACAATGGTCCCACAACAATAGCAATTTTTTAATAATCATCTATCTCTGACAAAATTCCCAACACGACCAATTAAAAGAGAAGTTTATTTTGTATCAGGATTTCACTGATCTCACCTCATGCTTGGCTTGTTCTGGGACCAGAAACAGGATGGTAGAAGTGTGTAGCACAGGAACACAGTCCAACCTGTGGAATACAGTGAGCAGAGAAGGAAGGAGGGGAGGGCAGAGGAGTGGAGAGGGGACAGGAAGGAAGGAGAAGGGAGGAAAGCAGAAGAGAGGACTACAGACTGCAGACAGTAAAGATAGTGCTCTCGCAGTTACTAAAGAGAATGAGGGAAGTACTGAGAATCTGTCTAGAGCCCTTCATGTTAAATTCTGGCTATACATTTGTCTCGTTTTTGAAGATGCCTGGAGAGTTTGGAGGAGAAAGAGTTTAAAGGTGATAGACTACTTTTTCTAGTACAGGATATGGCAAGGCAGACACAGCACTCAGGTGGTGGGATGAATACTGCTGGCGGTTTTACTAGATTTACAGGGATAATCAAAAATGAGAAGCAAAGCAGATTTGAAAATCTTGCACTTTGGCCAGGAAAGGAGTTCAGCCTACAAGGGTGCAGTCACTGGGCAGGTTAATATCATTGAAAAGAAACCAAATAATTCATAAAGAATTAGTAGGAAAGATATCTTAAGGGATTTTCACAAATCAAATGGGAGAATCATCTGACTAGGGCTTAATAGGTAAACTGTACACTCATTTGATAGATTTTGCCTTGAGAAAAGAGCCCTGGCATATACTGTTCAAACGTGATCTCCTAAGGAATTGTTTCTCTGCCATCAATAATCCAGGCACTTAAAGTTTTTGGCAACCATGGACCATGCCACTCCTAGGAGTGGCAGAGTGGCATAGTTTTTATGGTATAAGTATTATAAACAGGAAAAAAGCAAGAATACTGATTCATGGAAGCTTCCACCAGATTTCAAAGTAGGGCCTGGGAGACCAGGCAGTGAGTGTACCATAAGGCACTGGTTTGGATCTTCTTCTAACCTGAAGAAGAAATCCACTATATAGTGTGATCAGTACAGCAAACTAAGGTTTGGTCAACTATTAATATACATTAAATGTAATAGTTGTGTCCCCCGTACTAGTGAAAAGCATAATTCAACCACAGTGTTGTAGAATGTATTATCTAAAGCCCAGGAGGTTGGGGATTTGAGTAATGCCAAAGCAGGAAAAAGTAGAGAAGTAAAAAAAGACAAAATTTAAATCTTCTGCTGTGTGGTATGGAAAAGAAGGTAAGGAAGGGAGCAAAGGGTCCTATCAATGCCAATGATATGTTGCTATTTCAAAAGGACAACAGGGAGAGCTGTGTACAAAATTGGTGGTGATAGTTGAAAATTGAGTGACTATTCTATAACTGATATCAACACTAGAGAAAAAAGATTAAGGGAAACAACTGTAAAGGTGAAGTGGATAAAAAAGTAAAATTGAGAATGAGTAAAACATAAGAGAAAGAGGTCAGGTAATGATATACATGTAAAAGTAGGAGGGGGTAGACATGAACAGGGGAGAATTCCTTTACACTCTGTAAACTACATTAGGGGTAGAGAAAAAAGTAAGAGTAAGCAAAGCACTAACAGACACTCTAATAAAAAATAGTATAAAATAATGGGCTAAATATGAGACTAACCGTATATAAGGGAGAAATGGCAGAGGAAAAAACTCTCTTAAAAGTACAACTAAAATAAAAAATGAAAAAAAATAATACAATCAAATAAAGACTAGTAAAAGAAGAATTTCAATTGTTTTGGATATGTGATCCTTCCTCAGGCTCACATTAAGAAGTGATGCTCCAGGAAGGCTGTGTCTTTGTTTACGCTGAAAGACTGAGGTGGCAAACTGTGCCCAGAACAGTGCTGGGCAAGAGAAGTGCCATCAGAGAGCACAAGGCACTCATGGGAACCACCAGTCCTCGGCAACTCAGGCCAAAGCTGGCTCTGGGTTGCAGGAGCCTAAAGCACCACCAGCCTCACAGCAGGACTCCACCCAGTCAGCTCTCCAACTGCCAGCAGACTTAGACTCAAACATTCAGCCCTTTTCTATTATCTCACACCATGCAATGAACTAACATCAAAATGGATCAAAGAAATTAACAGTAGAATAGAAACATTTAAACTGCCGAATAGCAAAATAATAAAACTCTTAAAGATTCAAGAGTAGAACGATACTCTGATTGTATAAGAAGTAATACCAAGAATCACAAAATGGGATCACATCAAATTAAAATGCTTCTGACAGCAATGGCAACCTCAAAGTGAAGACACAACCTACAGAAAGAAAAAAAAACTTTAAATTATACCACAAAGCTACTGTTATAAAAGCAGCATGGTTTTGTCCAAAGTAAAACTAACCTAAGGATCAGTGAAACAGATTAGACGATGTAAAAACAATTCCAGACTTAGCCCCATATCTTTGATTAAGAAGGCAAACACTTTCACTGGAAGAAAGCCTTTTTAATAAATATTAGTGGGAAAACTGGCTTCCTATTCCCTAAAGATTAACGCTAGACCCTTAACCTTCACCATACACTAAATATAAATCTAAGTGGATCAAAGATAAATCTTAAAACAGAACTTCTAAATCTTCTAGGAGACAGAATAGGTAGAACTCTTGAATTCATTGAGGTATTC